TCTCCCCTCTTTTTTTTTTTTTTTTTAATAAATTTGAGACATTTTTGTTTCAGTTAAACTCATAGTTGCCCATCTTTAGGGTATCAGAAGACCAAAGTTTTGGTCCTATCTTAGAGAAATGTTTGTGGTTCTTCATTGCTTTCCCTCACGATATGCCTTTCTGCATGTGCAGGGTATCCGCTACACACACCCCATCTGATCTCCCAGTGGGAGCAAGAGGAGGACCTGCAGCCCGTGAAGAGAGGACTTTCGCAGGGCATCTGTACGGGGGAGCACCGTGAAGGCAAGAATCCTTGGGAGAAACTGTCCTAGTTGGGGAAAAAAAATCAAATAAAAAAACTTTGTTTTATCTGAGGAGTCTGATCATCCACAGATATCTCAGATTACTATTTTGACATTTTATCAATGACCTCTCACACTTCCCTCGTTCTTCACAAAGACCTTCCGTATTTCCTCCTTGCAAGTTAGTATTTGATCATGTGCATTTTATCCAATTCCTTTCTGTTTTGTTCTCCTAATGATAGCCTATAATAATCCCATAAAGGAGATCCTATAATCTCCTATAATAACATAAGCATGTTAGTCTCAGTCTTCATAGAATTATTTCTTAGTTAATTGCTTAGCGTTTTGAACCTTGAGCCCATTAATACCAAAGTCCTGAAACAGCTACTCTGCTAAAAGTCCTTTTCTCACAGCTGCTTTCACTTTTTTGTTTCAGATTCTGAGACTCAACTTAAAACTAACGAATCAATTCTCCTGCAAGATATTTGTGGAGAAAAAATATCCAATGAACAGAAGATAGTAAGATTCAAAAGAAATGATTCCTGGTCCTCCATTTTACCTGAAAACTGGGAATACTGTGATATCAATTATCAGAACAAAAGCCATGAGAGGCCTTTGAGGTGAGTACCATTCATATAGAGAAAATAATGCCTCAGGAGAGAATCTTAAAATGCCATGAAATTTAAGAAGCATGTATACGTAAGCCTAGGTCAAAAATTGTGATTTCACAAAGAATTTTCACGAGGTATTTTTCCTACAAATGAGTACGAGATAGCGAATGCTTGATACATAACTTCATTTGTAAGCAATTACTAGAAAAATCCCTTAAGTTAAAAACTCGGTGACAATATTAGCTATGATAGTTCCCCCTTGTGAGAACTTTTAGCTTATAACTTGACCGGGCAGAAAACATACACATTCACTGAAAATGGTAAAAAGGTGTTACTAATAGTGTACCTTTTATTTTTAGAAGAAATCATATGGTGGAGAACATATATGAACGTAATGAAGAAAACCAACATGGACAGACCTTTAGCCAAATTCCAAATCTTGATCCCCTCCAGAGAACTACTGAAACAAAATCCTGTGAGTGCCGTGAGTGCGGAAAGGCCTTCCCGGATCACGCATCCCTTAAGAATCACATCAGGTCTCACGCTGGAAGCAAACGCTACCAGTGTAAGGAATGTGGGAAAGCCTTCCATTTTCTTGCTTGTTTTAAGAAGCATATGAAAACTCCCACTGAAGAGAAGCCCTATGAGTGCAAGGAATGTACCACAGCCTTCAGTTGTTCCTCATTCTTTAGGGCACACATGAAGATTCACGCTGAAAAAACAAACTATGAGTGTAAGGAGTGCGGGAAAGCTTTCAGTTGTTCTTCGTCGCTCACAGAACACAAAAGAATTCACAGTGGAGATAAGCCTTACGAATGTAAGGAATGTGGGAAGGCCTTTAGTTGCTCCTCCTCACTCTCCAAACACAAAAGAATTCACAGTGGAGATAAGCCATATGAATGTAAGGAATGCGGGAAAGCCTTCAGTTCTTCCTCTCACCTTATCATACATATAAGAATTCACACTGGAGAGAAGCCTTACGAATGTAAAGAGTGTGGAAAGGCCTTCAGCGAGTCCTCAAAACTCACTGTGCACGTGAGGACACATACCGGCGAGAAACCCTATAAATGTAAGGAATGCGGGAAAGCCTACAATTGTCCCTCCTCCTTAAGTGTCCATATGAGAAAACACACTGGAGAGAAACCCTACGAATGTCTGGAATGTGGAAAATCCTTCTATCTTCCCACTTCCCTCAATACACACGTGAAAAATCAAAGTAGAGAGAAGCCCTACGAATGTAAGGAATGTGGGAAGGCTTTCAGCTGTCCGTCATCCTTTAGAGCCCACGTGAGAGAGCACACTGGAAAGATACAGTATGAATGTAAGGAGTGCGGGAAGGCCTTTAGTCGTTCCTCGTCCCTCACTGAACACTTAAGAACTCACAGCGGAGAGAAGCCTTATGAATGTAAGGACTGTGGGAAAGCATTTATCAGTTCCTCCCACCTCACGGTACATACGAGAACTCACACTGGAGAGAAACCTTACGAATGTAAGAAATGTGGGAAAGGTTTCATTTATCCCTCAGCTCTTAGGATCCACATGAGAACGCACACTGGGGAAAAGCCCTATGAATGTAAGGAATGTGGGAAAGCATTTCGTCATTCTTCCTACCTCACTGTACATGCAAGAATGCACACTGGAGAGAAACCCTTTGAATGTCTGGAATGCGGAAAAGCCTTCAGTTGTCCCTCATCCTTCCGAAGACATGTGAGAAGCCACACTGGAGAGAAACCCTATGAATGTAAGGAATGTGGGAAAGCCTTTGTTTGTCCTGCCTACTTTCGAAGACATGTGAAAACTCACACTAGAGAAAATACCTAAATGTAAGGCATAGGGGAGTGTCTGCAAAGCTTCTTCAAATCCTAGGCAGCTTGTGAGATCTCATACTGTGGAGACCCCCTACGAATGTAAGAAAGTAAGAAATTATTGCTCATCTTTCTGGAGATTGGAGGACACCTTAGAGCAAACCCTGTGTGTATAAACCATGTACTAAAGCTTTCATGAACATCACTTATGGTGTATAAGAAAAGTCATACTAGAAATGAAGACCCAGTGTCTCAGCCTTAAAGTGGACTGCTGGCTCATTGATTTCCTGTGTTTTTGATGTGAACATTTAAAGTGATAAAATTTACCTTTTCAGCTCTAGCAACAGTATGAGATGCTTTTATTTTGGCTTAGGTGTAAATATTATTTGCATTACAAAGTCTTTTGACCATGGACGATGCAAAGTGTATTTTTTCATACAGAAGCAGGAATG